ACCAGCCGGCTCAGGTGCCGGGCAGTCACTGCCACACGCCGTGTAGCCAGGAACACCACCAGCAACACGAAGCCCCCCAGGAAGGTGCATGTCCAGCCCCATGCGGAATTCACAAACTTTCTGTGGGCAGAGAAGAGGGGAGATTACTGAAACCCTTCTGCCCCTCTCCCCACTCTGGTCTGTGTTCCCCACTGCTGTCCCCAGTCCTACATTTCGTCACTGGCTGTCTATTTCCTGTGTCTTATACCTCCCACCCCCATCCACCCATTCAGCCTGCGAGGGTCCATATTTCCTCTTCAGTCTTGCTCCCAACTTCCCCTGGACCCCCAGTGCTGGCCCCCTCCCCCTTCTCTGACCTTCTCTTCAACCTCCTAGCCTATTTTTAGTGTCTGGCCTGGCAGGAGGACAGAAGCCTGGAGGGAGCTAGGATCCCAGAGTGCAGGGAGCCGGCGCCCCTAGCCTCGAGTGGACTCACATGTTGAAGAAGTTTCCGTGGCTGGCGAAGATAGTCCGAGGGTTGACATGGAACTGAAGAAGGGGCCCAAAGATGACCACTGCTGCCAACCAGGCATGGTACAGGCGCCGTAAGCAGGGGCTGCCCAGGAGGCGGGCAGCCTGTTCACTTCCAAAATACAGCAAGGCAGAGGCCACCCAGAGCAGCACCTTCACCAGGCAGCCCAGCAATGCCCGGATTCGGGCCCTGGCCCCCAGCCCTGCCCCCACCACCGGCCCCCGCTCCATGTTCCCTCCCCTCCCCACTAACTGCTTGCTCTGCTGGGCAGCTGAGGAGGGGCTGATGGGGCCCCCCCCCTGGGCAAGGACAGACAGTGACAGGTGTGGCAGACACAGAGCAGAGCCCTGTTGGCAGCTGGCAGGCGGGGGAGAGGGGCGGGGGGCAGTAAGGGGCCAGGGCAGAGGGCTGCCACGTCAGCAGGGACCCAGCCTCGGGTGCGTCTGGATTGCCGCCTGTGTCCTTTCTATTAACGCCGTGTCCCCCTGGTCCTCTAGGTCTGTCCCCAGCTCTATGTTCTAGTTCATGTCTTAGGGCCAGGACTGCTGTTTAGGGTTGTCTTTGACCACAGTCTGCTTGGGTCTGCCTACTTCTGTTTGGTCAGCCAGTCATCCCCACTCCATCCCAACTTTACTATGTGTTTGATTCACAGGGAAATCAGGGGTCAGAAAGATAAAACTAACCAAATCTTTTATTAAAAAATCTGTGTCTCCCTCATCATCAGTGTGGTCCAGCCCCTTTCCTCAGGTTTGAGCACAAAGCAAGGTGCCTATGCACTGCACTGTGTCCAATCAGGCCACGTTAGGAGACCATGACCCCAGTGGCTTGGCTCAGCCCCAGCTCGTCTGGTCTGAGGGGCTCCGAGGGGCTAGTTTGGTCCCAGGGCTGCTGTGTGAATGCACAAGACGTTAGATCTAAAGGGGACCCTTCTTTGGTATGTTTATTATGATGGCCAACAGATGAAATTCAAGTGACCTGAAAAAGGCGTACTATATGAGACGGTGATGGCCCAGATCGGACTCTCAAAGACCCAAAGATTAGATTTACTCCCAGGTGATGGGGAAGGAGAGGAGGAGACCTAGAAGGAAAATCCCCAGCCATCAAAACCTTAGGTTGTGTCCTCTAACCAATTACTCTGGGTCTCAGCCACACATAAGACTTGGCCTCCCACCCTGGCCGGGTGGCTGTTGGAGTGTCGTCCCACACACCAAAAAGGTTGCGGGTTCGATTCTTAGTGAAGGCACATACCTAGGTTGCAGGTTCGATCAGTATGGGAGGCAACTGATCAATGTTTCTCTCTCACATCAATGTTTCTCTATCTCTCCCTCCCTTCCTCCCTCTCTCTTTAAAAATCAATAAAAACATATCCTTGGATGAGAATTAAAAAATAAAATAAAAAGACTTGGCCTCCCAACCTGACCACTGAGGCTGGAGCTATAGAGCAGGGAGCAACTACCTAAACAAAATCCTTGTTATTCAGTAACTGTTTTGCGACCCTTTTGTCTTCCTTCCTCATTCCTCAAACCTGGTGGTGGGACTTCAAAGCACAGTGGAGACCAGCAAAGCAGTGAAAGGAATGAGCGAGCAAGCAAGGACACCTGGGTTCTGGGCCCAACTGTATGACTTTGGGAAAACTAACCCTCCTTGGTCCTCAGCACCCTCATCTGCAAACTGATCAAGATGGATTAATCAGCCAAGCCAGTGTGGCTCAATGGTTGAGTGTCAACCCATAAACAAGGAGGTCACAGTTCGATTCCTAGTCAGGGCACATGCCCAGGTTTCGGGCTCGATCCCCAATTGGGGGAGGGGGGCATGCAGGAAGCAGCCAAACATCAATGTTTCTCTCTCTTCCTCTCAGAAATCAATAAAAATATATTAAAAAATATAAAGTTGACAAAGAAAGTTTTCATTGTAATTGTAAATAGTTGTAAAGGACATAATCTTAAAAACTGCCTTGAAATGTGAGGAAAGACGGATCAGAACTGGATGCGAACCCTAGTTCCCCGCTGGCTGCGCCATCGGCTGCTCTGGGGCATGCTGCACGCCTCCACTTCCTCAACTGTACAAGGGGCGGCTGTGGGGGTGGAGCGCCCAGATGGGGCCTGGCATCAGCGACCATCAGGTTCTCTGGCTCTGGGTGATTTTTTCTTGTAGACTAGACCAGTTCATGCAAGTGTGCTGACCTAAGATGTGCCTATTTCCTGCTCTCTTGATTTCTGCTTGCTGGGAAGTTTCTAAGTTGGTGAGGGACTGCCTATTAAAAGGCTCAGTTAAATGATTTTGGTATTTCCTTACATCTTGGGCATCAAAGGGATGTTTTTTTCCCATAGAGCAGCAAATCTGAAGGCTTCGTTGAAGCTATTTTCTTGACTTGAGAGTATAAAAGGCCTCAGACAGGAAAAAGAGAGACAGAGAGACACCAAGCCAGGTTCCCACAGAGAGTTTATTGAGGGAGCCAAAGCCAGTGAGAGGACCAAGGAGTCCTACTTAACATCCCTCCTTGAAGCCGCTGGCCTCTGCAAGATGGACTGTCCTGGGAGGGAGGGCCTGCCCTGTGTGAGGCCACATGGAGCCCCTCACACCACAAGCTGGCATACCCCAAAGACCCAGACACAGGAAAGAAACCACATAATTCCCACCCTAGGAGGGTGCTGAGGACCTGCCTTCCCCATCCCACCCTCCCCCAAAGGGCTGCAGCTCTAGCCATCAGGACCTCTGATTGGCCAGGCTAATCCTTAAGGTGAAGGCCAGGCAATGGGCCTGCCTGACTGCTCAGGTCAGACATGGCCCCAGGCATCTACTCTAGGAGCTAACACCTAACATCCAAACATGATTAAAAACACTCAGGACAGTGCTCTTGCTAACGAAGGCCACACCCAAAATAAAGGCAGTCCTGCCAGACCCCAGCCAGAGACAGAGACCCAAGCTGAATGAGGGGTGAGATTTCGAGGAGACCCACGGGGAGGATTTTCCAGAGCTCAGTTAGGGCCCCCGAAAGCCTGGGCTTCTGTTTCTCCCCATCCAATGCCAATGACTCCCCAAAAGGGAGTCCCTCAGAAGGGAGAAAGGGAAGAGAGCTTATCAAGAGGCTCAGCCACATATGGGCTGGAGGTCAGATCTACTGGGGCGAGGAAAAGGCTGAAGAGGGGTGGGGCACTGAGGCAGGAGCACTGGGGTGTTCCTCAGACTCTGGCATGTCATCCTGGAAGTACTCAGCCTGGCGGTACTGCCACAAACGCAGGTTCCCGTCCCACTGCAGGGCAGAAGGTGGCAAGTAGTCAGGGGGTGCTGCTCACTCCCAGGTCCAAGTCCCAGACATGTACTGCCCGCCCGCCCCGCCCCAACTCTTGCAACCTCACCGAACTGCTGACAATCTTCTCCTCAAAGGGGTGCCAACTGACGTCACGCACACAGGCCTTGTGGCTGGTCAGCTTCTTCACGATGTGCCCGCTGAGGAGGTCATACACTGTTCACAAAGGCCAGAGTGGAGAGGCTGCCACAGGACCTTCTGGCCACCCATCTCTCTCTGAGCAACACCACTTACCCACCTCTCAGGCAACTTCCCACTTGCCTAGAGTAACAAAACCCACAGCAGAGGATGGGGCTGTTTCTCAATTTCTTTCCCCTTTTCCCTACCTCAGATTGAGGGTATGGTCTAGCAGAGCTCAGATATCTCTGGCCCTCAGCTACATTTCACAAGGTCTACACTTAAAATGCAATGTGGCTTTAAAGCTGTTAGCAGCCATTTTCTAAAAAGCCCACAAGATCTGGAAGGCAGCACCAAAGTGAATAATAAATGTCTCCAGAGGTACGAGAACCTGGTGTTCCTTATCTGGACGGGGCGCACCTTTCTCTCATTCTGGTGGGTCTCCACCCGAGTGCGCGATTTCAGGCTCCTTATAGCTGCAGCTGTGTTGGTGCATTTCTCCTGCTCTGGGGCTTGAGTGTCTTTGTGTCATTCCTTTTTACCTCTGTTCCCTCCTACCTTTCATCTGCAATCTCTCTTCTTGACTGGCTACAAAACAACCGCGTATATTTTTGGTAATCTGTTATATTTACTGACTAGAATTCTATGTTCCTTGTCTTAATTTAAAATGCTGATGAATAGAATGTTTTCTGTTTCTGTTTAAGCCTCCCTTGCTCTAAGCTAAACTCACTTCCACTTGTAGATGCCACTGAGTTTAAGGTGGTCACTGGTAGTTATAACCTGAGAAACATTCCTGCCCTTCCCAAGACTCCCTGTTCTGACACAATCCTTACCAACCACTTTGCCAGTGGAGCAGCCACTATAGATGAACTGCTGGCCGGTGCTATGGGTCGGGGAGAATCGGCATCGGATGAGGGTATGTAGCACCCCATGGCCCCGGTAGGTCATCAAGGAGCTGTCCCCTGGGAGCTTCAGCTTCCGCCAGGCTGGGTAGGGGTGCAGGGAGAGCCCTAGGTTAAGAGTCTGGATTCTCCCAAATCACCAATCCTTAGCAAAGATCGATGCTCAGAATCATTTTTCCAACCCCCAACTGGTAGCTCTTTCCCCACCTAACAGTCAACTGGTATTCACCTACAGTCAGCTGGGCTTCCTGCTGATTAAGATACTGAAATACTTTCATATTGGTTAGTTCTGAGTGATCCCCAGCCTCCAACCCTGGGAACCCTTGGCTCACCCCATGGTTCAGCAAACAAAGAGTTAATGCTCTAGGCCAGAGCATATTCACTGTGCCCATGACAGGCCTCTCCAGGGGTTAAATATTTTAACTACTACCCCTGACCCCTTACTCTCCATATCTCAGGCTCTACCTTCCACTCTCACCTTTAAAAAAATTAATTTCTTACTTATTAAAAATTTAAAAAAAATGTTTTTATTGATTTCAGAGAGAGGAAGGGAGAAGGAGAGATAGAAACATCAATAATGAGAGAGAATCATCAATCAGCTGCCTCCTGCATGCCCCCTACTGGGGATCGAGCCTGCAACCCGGGCAATGTGCCCTCACTGGAATTGAACCTTGACCTCCTGGTTCATGGGTCAACGTTCAACCACTGAGCTGCACCAGTCGGCCCTCTCACCTTTTTTGGGCACCTGCTGCCAGCGGTAGTCCCAGTTTTGCTGTGTGGCAGCCTGGCGTGAGGCTTCCATGCCTTCCCGGCTGGAAAAGCGCCGGATATCCCAGAGCTTGATGGTCTGGTCTTTGGAGTTGGAGATGAGATACCGGGCATCACCCTGTGAATCCCAGAATAGGTGATGAAGGGTCAGATCTTGCAAATGTTGGTGCTGTCAGTCCAGCTCCCCTCTCCAGTTGAGGGGTAAAAATGCCAGTCCTCTGATTTTGCTTGCCTCTTTCCTCATCCAGGTGAGCTCACATTTTTTTTATTGTTGTTAATCCTCACCCAAAGATATTTTTTTTCCATTAATTTTTAGAGAGAGTAAGAGGGAGAGGGAGAGATATAGAGAGAAAAACATCAATGTGAGAGAGACACATCAATTGGTTGCCTCCCGCATGGGCCCTCCCTGGGGCTGGGGATTGAGCCTGCAACCCAGGTACGTGCCCTTGAGTAGAACTGAACCCGAGACTCTTCAGTCCACGGGCAGATGCTCTAACCACTGAGCAACCAGCGAGGGCTCACATCAGTTTTCTCCCTCAGATCCCACCCCCTGGTTATTCTTCAGCTTCTCTGCCTGAGGCACTGGCTGGGTCTCCTATTCTACCTTGGACTAACTGTGTTCTATTTTTCTTGTACGGAAAGCCCTGCCGAGCTCCATTGGTACCCATCAGTGTTGAGTACCAATGGATCTCACGTTTCCTGGCTTAAGCCCCTTCCCTAAAGTCCAGTTCTTGCAAACTTGGCTAATAAGGACCTTGGGTGAGTTTCCACACCAGTCCACTCTGACATCCTCTCCTAGACAATTGGAACCTTAGTAGCCTAGCTTCACAGTGCTGCCTCCCTGCCTACCTTGCTGTCAATGAAAGTGATGCCATCTTGATGTCCGGCCAGTGCACCCACAGGCTTGGGGTCATCCTCCCGCATGGTGCGTCGATCCCACACTTTGCAGATAGCATCGTCACCCCCGGAGAACAGGATTTGGGAGCTTATGTCAGCAAAGGCCACTGCATTCACATCATCCTCATGGGACTCAATCTAGGGAGAAAGAGAACAGGATATCTAGGACTTCTTTCTGGGTCTTCTAATAGCCAAGGACCAGGAAGCAGAGACTCTAAGTCTCAGCACCAATACCTGAAGGGTGCGCCGGTTCTGTTCTC